TGACATATTTCTTTTGTTTATTGTTATTAAAAAAACAGATATATACACATATATAACAAGATACTGCTCATTTGGAAAATTACATGTTTTGCAATTTTAAAGCATAACAGGCATAAAAACCCAAGCAAACGAATATTTAGTAAACTGTAATATCATTTTTTCCCTACAATTATAGTCTAAATTTTAAACTTTATTTAAGGTGTCATACATTATGAAAACTGCAACAAAAAAGCCAAATAAGGAATACCAAGTATATTAAAAAAGTACATTACAGAAAATGCGTATTACTTTAAAAAAAATATGCAAATGATATTTTGTTCAATTAGTCGATTGTCACCAATTTCTGCATATAGAGCTTTACCCGTGTGATATGCTTCATTGCAATTATTTCTTGCAACAGCTTAAAAATATCCCAATGTTTCGTAATTCCCTGTTTATGCATGAAAAGATCCTTACATATCTCCGAACTGAAATAATATGGTAAAAGACCTTGGTGAGTTTGTAAGACAAAATAAAATTGAGAATTGAGAATATATATCAAGTTAGAAACAAAATCCCGACAATAAAAAGAAATACAAATACATAAATGTGATACACCATAGAAGTAGCTATAGGTTTTGAACAAAACTATATGTTAAGAGGATGAAAACAAATGGTTAATTGTGCATGCGCATCCTTTATAGACTTTTCATATTAACGACTTTTGACTCCGGATTTTATCATTTTTAACAGGTTTCCTATTCTATTGTAGGACAGCCTGTTACTCACTCAAGTAAGAGCAAACAAAAGAAGTAAATTCCAACAATTTGGGGAGAAAGTTTACTATTTTCCGGTGATTTCGTCCTGTAAAGAAAAAATATATGCACTTCTGTATCGTGATTTCTGTATCGTGATTCGTGATTTTTCTTTTGCCTGCTTAGTAGTGAAAAAACTAGAACTGAAAATGACCATTATATACACATTTGAAGTTCCGCAATGATTCCAAAAATATATCCGAGAATGAAAACATTTGCTAAACGTTTGAACGACAACATATTTATTGAGTTTTGTTTTACAAATTAATATTTCAGCAACATGTTTCTGATAATTTTATTTGTGGTAGTGCGCTAACCTTCAACTGGAGCAGTTAAACAATATGGATATTAATTAATGATGTACTGTGGAGTCTATGTGGGATAAATACAAGGAGTATTGTTTAAATAATACTCAAAAGTTAATTTTTGACATCTCATCATAGAATCATTATACTTAATATCGGCAGCAGTAAATCTATGGTTAATTCATTGACATGATAGTCCAAAAATGCATCATTTTGTTAAATGAACGGTTTAAAACGTGATCTTCAACGATCAAGAAACCGTAACCGCTGCTAGAAACTAGTTCGTTTCTAGAGTGTCATCGTGCCACCGATAATCGCATCATTTCTAATAGATTTTAATGGTATACATTCAGTAATTGTTTTTCAATTGATTTAATAGCCATACAAAAGATAGCAATCAAAAGTTTGTAGCGATTGGTATTTTGTGTTTATGCCCATACTTATATCTTAAATCCGATCTCATTGAAATAAGATTCTTGAATATCATTATAATGCACACAACTGTATCATTTTTCAAGTATAAGACCAATGACCTAATTTAAAAGTCCTAAATTGTCTGTGGGGGTGTTTTATTCGTTATTGTTTGTCTCTTTATCTTTAATCTAGTATTATTCATCTGCATTTCTGATTTGGTTGTGTCTTTAAAACAGTTGTCATCGGACGTAGTCGTATATTAGAAAGAACATATTAAAAAAAACATTCCTTTAAAATATTATTAACATTAATTTAAAAAAAAAAAAAACACTTCTAATGTGATAGTGGTGAAACTAATTATACTGCTTCTTTATCATATAACAGGATGAACAATTTGTAATAACGAGTGAAGATATGAAGGGTCCAAAGTGCGGGAATTTACAGTACAATACAGTACTTCATACAAAAAAATTATAATCATTGACTTCGACCTTATTTTACTTCTTTTTTATCATACTAGATGCTAGACCCTGTATATAAATATAAGTAGCAATATTAGAACACTACACTTGTGTTTGTATTTTGCTCGAGGACAAGGTTGTGGAAAGCCATGTTCATAAAGCCGGAAAGCATCAGCATAAAAAACGAAGATGATCTAAAATCAGTACCACAATTTGCAAACGAAAACAATGATATGTTCGCTGATTAATGTCCACTCTGTTTCCCTTTGGCTCTTACGTCTTATCTGCTTAAAGTGGAATATTTTACATATTTTGAAATGATAAATAGGATACCAACAGACTCTTGGAAGTATGTATTGTTAATTCTTTGCTGGAGAAGGTTGTTTCTGTTTAGGCTTGCGTTTCCTTCTTTTTAAATATTTTTCCAACATTTGAAATCTGCATTTTTACTACGATGTTACGTCTCCGTGACAAACCAATTTGGTTAATGCAATGGTAATTTGACATAAAGAGTCAGCATATTTTCTCGAAAAACTGGTGAACCTGCCCCGGGAACACAGTAATTGTGTGTTACATTTCATTTAGATCTATAAATGCATTAACTGCTGAACGACAGGCAGGAAATTTAGTAGAGAGGATAAAAGAGGTAACGTGACGTTCACACATACCCCGATATAGCCCCATCTTAGAAGCGATCTTATGAATACATCTAAACAATCTAAGCTTACAAATTTGTAAGTTCATTTGACATGTTTGAGTTATAAACGATGAAGTGGATTCTCTGAAAAAACCTTCTCCTTACTCCTCAAGTTTTCAAAGCCCTACATTAAATAAACAATTAACATTCTTAACATGTTAACATATTTATTTATCTCTATTCATTTATTGTTTTTTTCCTCAAAATATATACCTTCGTATTATTGTATAATGTCTATGCTTGTGTGTACCGTTATATCTACAGCGGTTTATCAAAATAAAGTATATCTCATAGATCAGACAGCGCTACTGCACTAAACGTGAAAAGTCGGAATACTATCATTAATGATTTGAAATGATCTATTATTGTTTGAACACAGTGGTATCCATTCATAACATAAAATGCTTGACATGTCCAGTAGGAATATGTTTTCAAAAATGAAAAATGGCAACAACAGATTACACTATTATTCAAAAATATGATTTGTTATCTTACCTCTTATACATTTATAGGAATATAATTGGTTAAAAGCGACCGCGTGGAGACCCTGTATATTTAATATGTGTTAAGTAGGCGTGGTTTCTTTTAAAACACGATTAGTAGTGGTGTTACGTCCCTTTATAAAAACAACACAGGAAAAATCTGAAACGTTTCACCAGGACAACAGATGACGAAATTGATGATGAACGATTGAGGTAAATGCAGAATACACATTAAAAGCTATAGCTAACAAGTTGTTATTGTTGGCGTTTGCTTTTGTATAGACCAATGGAAGTACGTTATTTTATTTTGAAGACTTGATCACTTTGATAGGCTACTAGTCTTAATGTCACATGTTAAGCACACTGTGTAGCTAATATTATACTATAACGTCATAAGTTACAACAATTTAATTTACGAAAAACAAATAAGACAACCACTGAACTAAAACCTCCTGACTTGGGACAGACACATAAAGAATATGGCGGGCGTTGCTAATTATCAAGAGAAATACATTTTTAATTTTATGTTTCAAGAGGACCACATGTGTTTTTTTTTTATTATTCATTTCACCGGATTTGTTATGATTTAAACGGTTGCCTTATATTTTATTTATCAATTGCAGGTTTAGATAAGAAAAAATGCCATTATAATTTTAATAATAAATCAGTGCAATAACATAATCATAGGAAACCGATTTCAATGTTCATAACACATGACTATTTGGAAAAATGTAGTGCATAACAATATGTTATGGCAAAAAATTCACTCAAACATCCTCTTTTCTAAAATATAACTTGCCATGGTTAGGGAATAAGGAATAGTTTATGAAAGATACCAAAAGGATATTCAAACTACAATAGAAAACAAACTGACAATGCCATGACAAAACAGGAAAAACGACGAAAAGACGAACAACAGTACACAAAACACAACATAGAAAATTAAAGACTGAGCAAAATGAACCCTACCAAAACTCGGGGTGATCTTAGGATAGGCTAGTCTTAATATAACGGGTACCTCGGGTCATATTAGGAACTTTTTGACAGATAAAATGATACAAGAATATAATTGTTTACACAATTTCTAGTACAATAGTTTTTCAACAATCGAAAAAAAAATGATTTGAAAGTATTATTAAGATTGAGATTTACATGGCTTAAACTTTAAAATACTTGGCATTAGGATCTTCTAGTACTGATGTTTTCCGTATAACTTTGGCGGATTTTGGGATTTTATTGATATAATGGTCCATTTTTCATATAAGTTTTATATTTCTATCTATTTACATTTACATATAAAAGAGCTCCTTTATATATCCGAAAAACAAACGTATAGCAATATTTATAAAATGAAAGAGTAACTTCGATTTCAAACCGTTATTGATAACTTAAACAGATACAGCACGACTGGTGATCTGCTTACCCTTCCGGGGTACCTGAGATCACCCCCGGTTTGTTTGGGTTCGTGTTGCTCTATGTTCAGTTTTCTATGTTGTGGTTTTTCATGTTTTTGTACTGTTGTCTGTCTTTTGTTCTGTTTCTTTTGGTTTTTGCCATAGCGTTGTAAGTTTATTTTCGACTTTTGGGGTTGAATGTCCCGTTGGTATCTTTCGCCTTTCTTAAACTGCAGTTTGGTGTAAAAAAAATTACAGGGATGTACCTTTTTTCAATTGCTCGCCATTTAATTAAAACAATAAAAGCATACAACTATAATTCCAAATCGTCTTTTCTATGACAATACATTGACAATAAATTCACATCGGTAAATATACACAATAAACTTTAATACTAAGTATAGGGAAAAATCATCAAAAAGCCGAAACTGACAACACTCAAGAATATGTCAAATCAAATCAAAACTTAATTGACAAGAGTTTCCTGATTTTTTTTCTACAGCATGTAGACTCACTTCAGTGTTTCCAAACATGAATTCGACTTCCAAAAATTGTCGTTCTGAAGGATCGGAAATTTCAATTATAGCTTCCCCGACAGAGAAACATCCATCTTCATCAGTATATACTGGAGACGTTTTGTCGCTGGCATATATTATCAAAGCTACGGCATTGTTATCTTTGGTCGAACCGTAGTTTTTTGTTACTGTAGTTCCTTGCCTTGCGTTTGTATCTTTCTGCATAATTATGTCAAAAGCGTTTTTACATTGAGCCTCGTCGTTTAACTCGACGTAGTGCTGTTGGTCATGGACTGCCGGATCAAATGGTGCACTCCATGTAACTCCATATGTTACCCGGGTCTTACGCGAGTAAATAGCTTTCGAATTGTGGCCAAATAGAACGGCACCTTTTAGAACAGCCAGACCACTCTCCTCCGGAACTATCACCTTCCTGGGTAAAAATGCTTTCATAATTTCTGCTTGTACTAATGAGCATGATGCAAACCCTCCTACTAAGAGAAGCAATGTTACTGATTCTGATTCTTTGCGTGTTAAGATTTCTTGTATCAATGACAAAATATTCTTTATAGTTTTATCAAAAAGGGTTTTAAAGAGATATGCATCGATTCTCAATTTATCTCCTCTTAAAGCAATGCAATTAGCATAAGGCGATGATAACAATGTAGAAAGCAAATCTTCCTGCAGATGTTTCTTACAAAGAGAGTCAAGAGGAGCATAAGGTATTTGCCATATTAATCTTTCCATTCTTTGATGGTGTAATTGTTCTTTTTACCACTTCGAACTCTCTTATCAAATCAAGAAAAGCCTCGGGTTGTTCTCGTTTCATTGCATGAATAAGCGGTGCCCCAAATATCTTCGTTAGTAGCTGTATAAATTCGGCATCAATAGACGTTCCACCACAATCGCCACCTGTTGCTCTACTGATTTCTTTTAAACAACCTCCAGCCAATTTTTCATGAACAGTTATGTCTACTGTGCCACCTACATGCAAACATTATTACATTTTAAATTAGTATCATGTTACTTCACTGAAACAACAATGTAAATATATAAATATGAAGATGCGGTATGATTACAAAATTAACAACTCTTCGCCAGAGATCAAATGACGTAGCTATTATATGTCACCGTACGACCTTCAAAAAACAACAAAAACTAATATCGCATAGCAAGCTAAAAGGCTTCGACATGACAAATGCAAAAAAATCAAACTAGAAAATTATTTGTATGTGCAAACAATAAACGAAAATAAAACATGATATACACATGATACAGCAAGAAATGAAAACTACTGAATATTAAGAGGTTCCTGCTTTTGTTTTTCCTTTTTTTATTTATTCAACATTTCTATAGAACTGGAGCAATACAGAGCATTATATCACTTTTTTAGAGATTCTATGATGACCTCTACATGTTTTGTCTTTGTTAGTTTGGGGGTTGTATTTCGGTGGTTTGCTGTCTTATTGACGCATGTCCCAATTACATTTGTGTTTAAAATAATCAAAAATTTAGATAGAAAAAACAATTGTAAGTAACGACAATGACGCACAGATTGATTTTTATTTATACCAATAAGAATACAATAATTTCGATTCTTTAAACATATTAAACATGTTATAAACATGCTTTAAACTAAGGAATAAATAGGCGTTTCTTTTGACATAAAGCATCATACATGATAGTCCACCCTATTTCACCACCTTAGTAATATAGCAGGACCGATATAAAGAAACATTAATAAATATCTTCTGTTTGATAATATAAGAATAAGAAGATATGATATGATTGCAAATGAGACACCTCTCCACCTGAGACCAAATGACGTAGAAGGTTAGCAACTATATAACTCTGCATATGATGAAGCAAATCTGTGACATTTTAAATCATGTTCATCATTTTAATGTGGACTTACCGATAATCATGCAGTGAGTCATAGTCTATGTTTAATCATAGAAATCATAATAATAAACCTAATCACAAAAAAATATATAACACTACCCCTCGTTATATATAACATGAATCAATTCTATAAAGTTACATGTAGGTTTCATTCCTGTGTACATTTAACGAGATTTCGTGATGAAGAACTTCCGGTTGGAAATAGAAAGTATGTGTCTTAAAATTTTAAAGACCAAAATTGAGTGAAAAACAGCAAATCAATAAACAAATACGAAAGAATAAAAAAAATACTAAAACAATAAATAAATAAAAACGATTCTAGATTGCCATACATGATGAGAGACAGAAATCGTTAATGTAAAATGCCACTTTATTTATTTATTTGTTCATTTGTTTATTTGTTTAGAATTTTTGTATACATAATTAGTTTTATTCATTCATTGATTTATTCATTTACGGAATTAAACGTTTGTTATGAATTATTCTGCAATTATTTTTGACAATTCTGGTAGAACTGTTTTAAATGAATTCAAGGAGTGAGGGTCTTTTGCCCTCTAAATGAATAAGTACTGAATAAGTACCTCCAAGATCTACCATCATGTATTTAGTTCCCACTTTAGACATTGTGAAACCTGATTCGGCGCCACATAATTTTTCTGTAGGCAGATATTGGCAAAGGATTGATGCAGCTTCTGGTTCCAGTGATATTAAAAGATGATCATTTTGAATACCAGCCTGTCAAAGACAGCAATGATAATGAAAAGTAAAATGGAAGAAACTAAACATAATAAATTATCAGATCATTTGCTACTCAAAATCATGCACTCTAACTGAAAGAGAGGGACATCACCGAGTGGGCCGTATCATTTAATTGGTTTAACCATGAGTAACCTGACGGGATTCACTAGTGAAGCAAGATATGCTTTTCCCTCCAGAGCACCTAGATCATCTCAATTAATTGTGTTAATATATGAGCATTTGGGTTAATTCCAAATGCATGCTCGTCTCTATTAACTCTTTTGGAACTTAAGACTCGCGGTTATTTTGAGGTCGCATAGTTAGCTCAACTTCACAGTAAGAGATGACATAAACAAAATGTTTTTAACGAAATAAAATTGTATTTAGTTTTCCTTTCATATGCATCTTTACCAAATACCACTAATTTGATAAATAAGACTTTATTATAGCGTATCGTATGCAATTAATGATTGCAGTATCAGGGAGCCTTTCTTATGTACCACATGCCTCCAATAATATGCTATACTAGTATAAAGCTTGTCTTCATTGTAGCACTCCAATGGTTAATATATGGTCATCCTTGGTCTTCTTCCTACTGACAGGGAAATAGGGCGTCCGTTTTGCTGTGCGGGATGTATAAACTTGCAACCACGTCCGGTCAGCATTAGGATCTTTAATCCAATGCCTCGTGTAGAAGGAATGGGGCGTAGACTGTACGTCGATCAACCAGTTTTCAACTTTCTGGGGTCCGTCGGTGACCTGTTGTGTGGCAAAACATCTGTCACTATTCAACATACCCTCATTTTTAAGGGGCAGTCAGCTTTTTCCGTCTTTCTTCCCGGTCGATCCTTTCTTGCAAAAACTACCTTTTGCAAAAGTTGTAAATAAGTTTTAGCTTGAACAGGCAAGCAACTTTAGCTATGGGCGAGAGACAAACAAGAATCAATGAATAAAAGAGGGGCGAAAGATACCAGAGGGACAGTCAAACTCATAGATCGAAAACAAATTGACAACGACATGGCCAAAAATAAAAAGACAAACAGAAAAATAATAGTACAGATAACACAACATAGAAAACTAAAGACTAAGCAACACGAACCCCACCAAAAACTGGGGGTGATCTCAGGTGCTCCGAAAGGGTAAGCAGATCCTGCTCTTCATGTGGCATAAACCTCATCGAAATGATTGTTTATCCTTAAACTTAAATTCACTCAGGGACAAGATATTGTAACGGTTGAAATCATTTTTCATTAAATGCTAACTTTTGGGTTGTTTTTCACTCACGAATGTGTCTGTTTCATTCAAGGACTAATAAGATAACGGTACATAGGTTAACAATCTTAGAAAAGATGCTACGAAAACATTCGTTTAAAAGTCTTGACTATGTATGTTTTAGTCTTATAACTTAATAATTGTTACTTCTTGGGATTTAATAATGCTTGAATAGTATTTCAAATGTGCATACTCGTAATCGTGTATTGTTTTATTGAGCAAATACCACATTTCGAGCCAGAAACGGTAAGCGGTTGAAATAAAATTAAAAACCAGTATGTCCGGGCGTAAATGATTGCTTATCACATACTGATTTTGAAAATACAATGTTTGAGGCACTTTTTCATCAATTAAGGGTGATAATAAGCCACTTCCAGTTAAATCAAAATCACTTCTGGTTGACATTTTCAAGGTCATATGTCTACTAACCTAATGCAAAAGATCCCATGGCTTTATCATGTATAAATATGAATTTATAGCAAAGGTCAAAATCTAGAACCATAATTTTTACCTATGACCTTGAACTAAATTTCAAGGTCATAAAGCAAGGACCTCAAATCAAATGACCCTAAATCTCCACTATGTAAGGGAGAAGAGTTCTATTCCAATACAGCTAATTTTGAGTTTTAGAGGGGAGGAAACTCCCACCAAATGTCAACGCACGCGTTTATGTATGTTACGACATGTCGCAAATAACAGTTTAGTAAAATATTTTGTCGATATCTTAACAATTCTGAAAAGAAGCAATATTAAGCCAAAATAAAAATTTAGAACCTGACCTTGACCTTTGACCTTGATCCCATTTTCTTTTCGGTAGACCAAGGACCTCAATTCAAAAGACCCTAGGTCTCTATCACTTATGGTTTACCAGTAACATTTACATTTCACTTGTTTTAAATACAGAAGGGGAAATAACTCTCATATGGAGTCTCCGGACCGCTTCGGTCAAAATTATTCTTAAGATCCTAAGGATATAGCAAACAAATTGATAAATAATTTTGTTGCAATCTCTTACGCTTGCAAAGGAGACGCGCACACAAGAAAAACAGTGTTTGGGGAGATAACTCTTACAATAAAAAGTGCTTGGTTAAACAGGGTCAGTTTCATAAGGGCAATAACTGTTCGATATTATATGCAAAATCTAAGCGACATCTTGCGAAACCACTATACACCATAAGCAAAAATGCGGCGGAGGAAAAAAAAAATTATTAAAAACCAATTGTTCAGAAAACAATTGAAGGTCTTTCCAGAAACGATAAATTTTATATAAAAAAAATAAAATCCAGTTTAACATGTCATTTCCAGTGTCAAACGATAGATAATTGTATACTAATTCCAAACATTAATGGTTTCTATACACTTTTGTTTGAAATAAGGGAGATAATATGTTACCTCCGGTTTGTAAAATGTAATTTCCGCTAATATTTGATAGTTTAATTGACACTGATTCCAAAAATATATGGTTCTATATACTTTTACATTAAATAAGTACACAAAATAGCTTCGTCCGGTTTACACAAGATCATTTTCGGTTGGTTTTTTCAAGGTCCTATGCTTGCAACCTAATGCAAAAAGTCCCATGGCTTTATCATATACACATCTGAAGTAAAAGCAAAGGTCAAAATCTAGAACGTCAAATTTACCTATGACCTTGACCTCAATTTCAAGGCCATAAACGAAGGACCTCAAATCAAAAGACACTAGGTCTTATTATATATGGTTAATGAGTTATATCACCATTCGCATAATTTTAAATATAATAGGGGAGTAAACTTCCATCTAATGTCAGCGTACCCCTTCAACCAAAATATATTTGTTACGACATATCGCAACTAAAAATTTAGTAAAAATATGTTGTCGATATCTTACACGGTTTTCGAAAATAAGTGAAAATAAGCCAAAATGAAAATTTAGAATATGACCTTGACCCAATTTTTTTTTTTTTTTTGGACCAAGGACCTCAAGTCAAAAGACCCTAGGTCTCTATCACTTATGGTTTACCAATTAGAAATGCATCTCACTTATATCAAATGCATAAGGGGGAATATCTCTCATATGGAGTCTCCGGATAGCTTCGGTCCAAATAATCATCCTGATCCTGAAGATGTAACGAATAATTTGGTAAAATAAATTTTTCGTTATCTTTCATGGTTGCAAAGAAGTAGTGGACACTATAAAAACAGTGTTCGGGGAGATAACTCTCACAAGAAAAGTATTCAGTTAAAAAGGGTCAGTTATGAAAGCGTATAAACTGTTCGATATCATATACCAAAAATCTAAGCCACATCTTGTGAAATAATAATACTGCGCAAGAAAAAAAAATTATGAGGAAGAAAAATATTAATAATAATAATAATTGAAAACAAATTGTTCAGAGAACAATTAAAGGTTTTTCCACCCAAATTCACTTAAGATACGGAAATTTGGATATAAAACAGTATGTCCGGTCTTAAATAATAGCTTATCAAACACTGATTTTAAAAATTTAATGCTTAAGGCACTTTTTTCATCAATTAAGGGGGATAATAAGACACTTCCGGTTAAATCAAATTCACTTCCGGTGCCAAATAATAGCTTACTTTATGCTGATTCTAAAAATATATAGTTTCTATATACTTTTGCTTTAAATAAGGGAGATAAGTTGCAACTTCCGGTTTAAAAAAGGTCACTTCTGGTTGACATTTTCAAGGTCATATGTCTACTAACCTAATGCAAAAGATCCCATGGCTTTATCATGTATAAATATGAATTTATAGCAAAGGTCAAAATCTAGAACCATAATTTTTACCTATGACCTTGAACTAAATTTCAAGGTCATAAAGCAAGGACCTCAAATCAAATGACCCTAAATCTCCACTATGTAAGGGAGAAGAGTTCTATTCCAATACAGCTAATTTTGAGTTTTAGAGGGGAGGAAACTCCCACCAAATGTCAACGCACGCTTTTATGTATGTTACGACATGTCGCAAATAACAGTTTAGTAAAATATTTTGTCGATATCTTAACAATTCTGAAAAGAAGCAATATTAAGCCAAAATAAAAATTTAGAACCTGACCTTGACCTTTGACCTTGACCCTATTTTCTTTTTAATGGACTAAGGACCTCAATTCAAAAAACCCTAGGTCTCTATCACTTAGGGTTTACCAGTAACAATTACAATTCACTTGTTTTAAATACAGAAGGGGAAATAACTCTCATATGGAGTCTCCAGACCGCTTCGGTCAAAATTATTCTTAAGGTCCGGAGGATGTAATGAGCAAATTTGAGAAATAATTTTGTCGTAATCTTTTACGGTTGCGAAGGAGATGCGCACACAAGAAAAACAGTGTTTTGGGAGATAACTCTTACAATCAAGTGTTCAGTTATACAGGGTCAGTTTCAAAAGCGCAATAACTGTTCGATATCATATGCAAAAAATCTAAGCGACATCTTGCGAAACAACTATACACTGCAAGAAAAAAAATGTGGGGGAAAAAGAAAAAAAGTAATAATAATAATAATCAGACCAAAATCAATAGATCTTTTCACAAAAAAGTGGAAAGACTAATAATAATAATTAAAAACCAATTGTTCAGAGATCAATTGAAGGTCATTCCATCCAAAACAATATATTTTGATATGAAAATATTTAATTCCGGATTAAAATGTCATTTCCAGTGTCAAATGATAGCTTATTATAACTGATACCAAAAAATATATGGTTTTTATACACTTTTGTTTTGAAATAAGGGAGATAATTTGTTACTTCCGGTATGAGAAATGTCATTTCCAGTATTATTTGATAGTTTACTTGACACTGATTCCAAACATATATGGTTCTACATACTTTTACATTAAATAAGTACAAAAAATAGAAACTTCAGGTTTACACCAGGTCATTTCCGGTTGCATTTTTCAAAGTCATATGGCTTGCAACCTAATGCACAAAGTCCAATGGCTTTATCATGTATACATATGAAGTTAAAGCAAAGTTCAAAATCTTAAACGTCGAATTTACAAATAACCTTGACCTCAATTTCAAGGTCATAAACCAAGGACCTTTAATCAAAAGACCCTAGGTCTTTATTATATATGGTTAATGAGTTATATCATCATACGTGTTATATTAAATTTAAGAGGGGAAAAAACTCCCATTAAATGTCAAAGTACCCTTTCAACCAAAATGTATGTGTTACGACATGTCGCAGCTAACAATTTAGTAAAAATGTGTTGTCAATATCTTATACGGTTTTAAAAAGAAGTGAAAATAAGCCAAAATCAAAATTTAGAATATGACCTTGACCTTTGACCTTGACCTTATTTTCTTTTTCTTGGACCGAGGACCTCAAATCCAAAGACCACAGGTCTCTTTCACTTATGGTTTACCATTTACAAATGCATATCACTTATATCAAATGCATAAGGGGAAATAACTCTCATATGGAGTCTCTGGATCTCTTCGGTCAAAATTATTCTCCATATCCTTAAGATATAACGAGCAATTTGGTAAAATAAATTTGTCGTAATCTTTTACGGTTGCGAAGGAGTAGTCCGCACTAGAAAAACAGTGTTTGAGGAGATAACTCTTACAAAGTAAAGTATTCGGTTGAACAGTGTCAGTTTTAAAAGCGTATAAAATGTTCAATATCCTAAACCAAATATCTAACCGACATCTTTTGAAACAACAATACCTCGCAAGAAAGAAATTAGGCGGAAGAAAATAAAAATAATAATCAGAACAAAAGCAAAAGGTCTTTCCACGGAAAAGTAATATTAATAATCAGAAGTAAATCAATAGGTCTTTCCACAGAAAAGTGGAAAAACCTAATAAAATTTTAAACAGATACAGTGGGAAATCTAGTAACAAAATATTATCTCCCCTGTAAATATTGAAAACTAGATCTTCTCAATGTTTGTCCCATTTTAGCAAGGACGCTATCAATTATGGATTCATGGGAAAACGTTTTGGTAAATAGTAAAAATAGAAATAAGTTGAAATAAAAACAAAACTTCCCTTCAATGTTATCATTTCCCTCCTTAAGTAGCAAACGACGAGTACAGCAGGCTATAGAAGCTTGATGTAAAATTTGTTTAAAATGTTGCTATGCGAATAAATTCCTGGAGTACCAACTTCAATTTATTTTGCTACTGGCTGTATACCTTTCTGGAACATGCTAATTATCCGAATATATATACAGCTAGATCAGAGAAAGTCAGGGAAAAAATTCCAAAGGAATCGATTGATATGCAGCAAAGATTGGCACTTTTGAAATTAAGTTACTAAGCAAATTCAAACGGATATTATCTCGATGTAAACATTGAATGTGAATAGATCGAGAAGACCGCAAACACATGTACAAAAATCGAGACGACCTTTTCTTAAAGTTGTATAAAAAATTGTAGAAAGACACCTACTTTATAAAAATAGTTCTCTTTTTATTTTTTTTAACCTGCACAGACAGACTTTTAAATTTTCATATTCACAAAAGGACAATATTTCTCTATTGCATGTACATGTGGCAAGTTCAGATCGGTGTGCTCGAAAACTTAGGTGTGAAAAAAAAGTATACTTTGGGAACTTGTAACATGCTAAGGACTTTTTGGAACACTCCGAAAATTGGTGATCTTTAGATTTTGCATGTTCATGATTTTTTCCAATTTTTTTTTATCAATATGCAGCAAAGATTGGCAGTTTTTACATCTTAATTTCACAAGCTTCTAATGCAATTGTCTCGATAAATACTGAAAATAAAACATCGAGTAATTGCATGTATATTCCTAATAACACAGTTTAACAATTAATTTATTTAAAATGAACAATTATTATTTGGAAATAACTTTTGATCAGTATCGTCACCGTCATTGTTTTATGATTGACTTTCTCGTCTCTATCATAAGAAGAGTTAATTTTCTTTTGTTTTCGTTCACTGGATATCCCACTGGATAAATGTAATTTAACTATGCTAGAAATTTAAAAGAGAAATACTGTCCGAATTTGATATTGGATTATGCGCAACTACTTGTAAATTATTTTTAAATATTTATTTGATAAAGGCAGAGTGTAACAATCGATCATTTCAGCATCCGATTCATCGAGTGTGCATTGCCCAAACAAACTGCTGATATCAAGGCAGATAAACTCCATCTTGTCCCTGAGACTAAATCAGGAAATATAGCATTAAGCATTCTTTACACCTGATCAATTTTGTTATTAATACACAAATTCCTTATTTGTTTTTGTATAGACGATATTACTCAACTCATTTCGCAAATTGTAGTTAAAATGATGTTATTATTTTGCTTGCAAATGTGCAGTTGTATAAATTGTACGCAATATATATTGTGTCCCGATTGTCAAATTAATTTTAGTCATTCTGACGTTTACTTCAACACGGAAATGTGATACGCTTCTTTATCCTAACTACGTATGTACTAATGTGGATGTCATTCAAATCTGAATAATGTTTGTTGCAGAACTATTTTAAACATATATTGTTATAGTGCAAGAGTCAAACGAACTTCTATTCTGACTTTAAGTGTACCTAAGGAATAGTAATTATTTTGATTATGTTTCCAAAGTTATGGTAATGTTGATCCTTATTTTTATGTTTCATACGTTTGACATGAATAATGGACCTATAATTTTGCTCCATATTTTGTCATGTCGAGGCATTTATTTACTGACTATACAGTATAGGTTTGCACGTTGTTTAAGTTCGTATGGTGACCTATGGATGTTTTATACACGTCATTAGTACATTTGTTGAGAGTTGTTTTCTTTTCAATCATATCAATTCCCCGTTTTTTTTATGCTAACTTATGTTTATCAGTAAGAATGTAAAAATGTAAGAATTTATATTATCTTCAGAACCCATTTGATTAATGCAAAGTATACCTTTTCTGCGCTTTTCCTCATGAATTGCTTTGAATTATCTGTCCAAATCGCTGGAACTGTTAGTACCCATTGTATTTCATTTGACATAACTCCTGTTCCCCGTGTTTTTAGAGCGTCCATCAAATGGTTGACTAATGCCTTAATTGAATGTGCGAATACATCAATCGCTGGGACTGTTTTTCCAGTAATATCTTCTAGTACCATATGACCTTTTACGTCCTATTGATTATAAAATGAGTGTCAAATTAACTAAGCACATGTTTACATCTCATCGTTCAATCACATTGTAAGCTTCAAAACCCATACTTTTTCCGTTTATTAAGTAAAAAAAAAGTATAACAAAAATACCAAACTCCAAAGCAAATTCAAAAAGGGGAAGTCGATACAAACGGACAAAATCAAACTTTATCAACTAACAGAACAAATTGAAAACAACTGACTGGGTACAGGCATGAATAACCACAGGGTAAGATTTCATTGTATTGTTATAAAGATATCAAGAACAGGAAGTGCCACTGGTTATTTTTTAAATGAAATATTGTGTTCCAAGTAAAAAACAATTATGTAATTTGTTTTTAAAAATATTCATATATATCCTGCCATTAAAATCCTTGGTTAAGCAAAAAATATTTTTTTAAAGACAAATTTGTGTCATTTAGATAAAGAATAGAAATATAGTTTTAATATCTTGATCAGAGTACAACGAAATCTTATAATTGTGGTCATCCAACATTCATGCAGTAACTTTGTACACAAAAAAGTGTGTTCGATAAAATCTAGTCAAGAGTAATTCAGGCAATTTGATTGTACAAGGATTTGATATGTATTACTTGAGGGAAAAAATAATAATGTGACATAAAATGATGATAATGATGATGCTGGCGATTATTTTCTAAACTGTATATGGTTGTTTTGGTCAGTTCATTTTGTAATCTTATTATGTAAAGATGTAGATATCCCTGTATCTCAATATACCACTGCTGGTGGCCGTTTCGTCCCCGAGGGTATCACCAGCCCAGTAGTCAGCACTTCGGTGTTGACATGAATATCAATTTTATAGTCATTTTTTATAAATTAGCTGCTTACAAAAGTATGAATTATTCAAAATACCAAGGATTTTCTTATTATAGGCATAGATTACCTTAGCCGTATTTGGCACAACTTTTTGGAATTTTGGGTCCTCAATGCTCTTCAACTTTATACTTGTTTGGCTTTCTAACTATTTTAATCTGAGCGTCACTGATGAGTCTTATGTAGACAAAACGCGCGTCTGGCGTATCAAATTATAAGCCTGGTACCTTTGATAACTATTTACACCACTGGGTCGATGCCACTGCTGGTGGACGTTTCGTCCCCGAGGGTATCACCAGCCCAGTATTCAGCACTTCGGTGTTGACATGAATATCAATTTTATGGTCATTCTTATAAATTAAATGCTTGCAAAAGTATGAATTATTCGAAATAACAAGGATTTTCTTATTACAGGCATAGATTACCTTAGCCGTATTTGGCACAACTTTTTTGGAATTTTGGGTCCTCAATGCTCTTCAACTTTATACTTGTTTGGCTTTCTAACTATTTTAATCTGAGCGTCACTGATAAGTCTTATGTAGATGAAACGCGCGTCTGGCGTATCAAATTATAAGCCTGGTACCTTTGATAACTATTTACACCAGCAGCTACCATATTTTCAACTACCAATTATTAGATAACTCGAATTCACATGTGTGCTAAATTGAATAGTCAATAGAAAGGTATATATCATGAAATTAAGTGCTCGTGGCACAGCCCCTTGCTCTTAGTTTCATAGTACATACTAACCGTTACTCACATCATAACATGTTGTTATCAAATAGTTCGTTTCTATGTATGTTGCATTGGCGTTTGATTTTGTTGCACTTCAGTGTTTCTGTTGTTCCGTTGTTTTCCTCTTATAGTTGATGTGTTTCCCTCGGTTCTGGTTTGTTACCCGGATTTGTTTTCCCTCAATCGATTTATGACTTTTGAACAGCGGTAAACTACTGTTGCCTTTATTTCATACAATTGACCAGCGGATGCATTTGTTAGCATGGTTCATATACATGATATAGAACATTTTTTAAACAATGAAAAGTAAAGCAATATCTCCACAGAACGATAATATAGATTAACATAAATTGACATAATCTTTTTACTGTCTATTTAAATATATTGACAAATGTCAGTTTGTCAGTTGAAGTGTTCCTATCGACAAAAAAATTGCCTAATTTTCTTACCCTACATCTATAAAGATTTTTGCTGACATTTCTAAATAGGCAAAGCATGATCAATATGTTTTATTAGACCCTTACCCCTTTCGACGTTCTATATACTATCTCAAAATAAAAGAAAATTATCCAGCAACATACCCCAAAAAAGTCGAAAATAAATTGACAACGCCATGGCTAAAAAAACGTCAAACAGACAAACAATAGTACACAAAACACAACAATGAAAACTAAAAACTGAGCAACACGAACCCCACTTAAAACTTGGGGGATCTCAGGTGCTCTTGAAGGGTAAGCAGATCCTGCCCCACACGTGGCACCCGTCGTGTTGTTTATGTTAGTACAAACTCGGAAATAAGTCTAATTCGGTAGGTCACATTCATGAAAGGGGACGGGATTGTATTTACGACATTAGGAACATATCCGCTATCATCAGTGAATTGGATATTCCATAATGCTCAACCAACTCGTGATGGCGTCCGTAAAATTTACAAAGGGATGATTTCAACTTCACCAATTGGAACTCTTGGTTAAGTAGCTTCCTTGTGAGCAGCAACCCTCTATCAAGGAAATCATGATAGGAAATACAAGCCCTGGAATATCGTATCAACTGGTAGATAAATATTCCGTATGCAGGCGCTGCTGGTATGTTGTTACATAGAAATAGAAGGTTCACAATTGGGAAGCTGTAATCATCTCTTTTGTCGTAAATAAAGGCAACAGTAGTATACCGCTGTTCAATAGTCATAAATCGATAAAGAGAAAACAAATCCGGTTAACAAACTAAAACCGAGGGAAACACATCAAAAACGTTCTAACGCTTTGGGTTTTTTAATTGAAATATATTCCAGTTAGTCTTGTTCGTAATTCAAAAAAATCAATCAACAGCTTACATTTTGATGATAAGGATTAAAAAACGAGTGTGTTCAATTTCTTGAGAGCATGCTGAAAAGGGAGAACAAGCCGCTATTTGTTAAAAAGTGGTTCAACTGGAACAATATGTATATGTTGTTTTTTTTAATATCCATGAAACGATTGGAAACATTACATGTAAACAATGCCTAGTTGAAGACAACAGTAAATTACCAATTCTCATATCTTTTAAATCCATTAAAGGTACACAAAAAAAAGTAAAAGAAAAAGAACGGAGGAAATTGAACGAAGCGAGACCAGCTACGTCGACCGAGTAAGTATCTCCTGCTATGCATGAATTATCCTTCGAGCGAATCTGTACATTCGGTAAATTTTTTCAGATCAGACGACTATTCATGTATTCCTTAATTTCGATTAATCTTGGAATTTTGAAACAGGAAGTTTTAATAACACAAAATCCGTATTTTCATGCCAGTACCTAAGTACTGGCTACTGGGCTAAGGTATCAAATATTGTTACTTTGATCAAGCGAATTTCGTTTGGACAAGGTTCTAATGACATAACGTTTTGCCATTAAATCTCTCATGTAGTGCAGACCAACATTCGAATGTACAAAGAATATTTGATATGACTCAAATTAAATCAAGCTTATCAATTTTTCATGACAGACATAAAATATTAAACACTACTCAAGGAGAATGAAGTAAAGATACTGTAAATGACCTTTTTATGTATGGTCAGTACAATCCATTGAAGGCATTGAAAGATTGTTTTTACAAAAAAAAGATTATTTTTGTCATATCGAGTGTGTTAACTGCTTTACCAGAAATAATAAGAGGGACACTTAACTCAAAATACTTTGGATTATCAGGGGGATAGTTTTAATTATTTTCGTTGATATAAAATATAAGTTTGTGATGTCAGCCATATGAAATGGGGGACAATCTAAAGTAGGGCAATTTTAACTAATAGTAAAGTTGTTCTTTTCTATCGTGATTTGGTCGCTTTAATATCTTTTGCATTTTTTCAAGTTTGCATAAGGGAATTATAACCTTAGTTTCTTAATATAGTTAAATCTAAGAAGAAAAGTTTATTAGACATCACATCAGTTCAACAGCGGTGGTATCGCCATTGTGCAATACAATTTTAAAAACACGCTTCTACATTTGGTGCGTTCAAAACGTTTTTCCCGGATCAACCCTTATTAGGAACGCTCAAACCTAAATCATTAAAGCCAAGGGTGTATGAATACCTGAATATGTGAAGAGCTATACGACCAAAAGAATATGTATACAACATGTGATTATGAATAATTACAATTAACTTATTATTGTGCAAGCTCATTTTAAATCTATGGAAATAATAATAGTCATCTTGCTCCCCCTCCATCACCAGATCTGCATACTTATTTTCAACTTCATAACCAAAGGAGTCGAAGTCTTTATTGGAATCCAACAGGAGGCAGGTTGGGGTTTTTAGAGACATAAGTCTCCCACCGGCGTTCCAAACCTGATCGGCATGTATCTTTAGAGGATCCGTTTTATAACTATCCCTCGTGGAAAATGCATATCCAGAGTAGGTTGTTCCAAAGTCGATAGCTGCCACCAGCAAGTAATCACTATCTATTTCAATCATTGCAAGAAGCGTTTTTCAACACAAAAGTCTTTTAACTAAAACTAAAAATGATGATACACATATTATGAGTTAGAACAAAAGTAACTAAATAGAATTTGGCCCATCTAGTAAGCATGATCGATCCCTTTGCAATTCCATTGATTTTTGTATTTCAGTATTTTAGATTATAATCTACGGGTTTCAATCGATTTCCAAGGGTTAAAATTGCAGATGCTTTGAATATCAAATTTTCTATTACTGTAAGACACATCACCATTTTAGATTACATCACTGAGACAGAATTTAACAATACAACAAAACAATTCTCGAATTAGAATCATTAATGAGTTCTTCGCTTACTGAAAGCCAGTTAAAAATATCAACAGGAGATATGATATCATTGCACACAAGACAACTATCCACCAGAGTCCACACGGTGCGGATAATATCCATTAGATTACAGGTATCTGAATTGGGACAGTCACATGC